TCCATCTCTTGATTTTTCTCTCTGCTCTCTCTTCTCAATTGTGTGTGCAGAAAAGTCATGTTACATGATGTAACATGACTTTTGATTTACCCTATATATATATATATATATATATATATATTTTCAATTATCAATTTCGTTTTATGCTTATGAACTTTTGCATTGAAGGATTATTTCCTAATCCTCTCTCCTGCCCTTTATGCATATACCAAAAAAAAAGAAGCCCTTTTTGCATAAGTAAAGAACCAGAGAGGATGTTTACCAAAAAAAAAAAAAAAAAAAAAGAACAAGAGAGGATTAGGAAATAATCCTTCAATGCAAAAAGCATTTATGAAAATGTTGCAAAGCAATAATTAAGAACACCTCAAAGCAATAATTAAGAACACCTTTTTTTAACACTTACACCGAAATTATGTTGCCTTTTTTAACCTTATTCTTTTCTTAAAGGGAAATTGATTTCTGCAACTAATAAAGAGAGAGATGGGGCTTAGCCCCTCTTTATTTACAAAAAAAAAAAAAAAAAAAAAAGAGAGAGAAAGGATCAATGTGATAAAACTCACTCCTATTATATTATGGAAAAATTGTTTATCCTTTTAAATGATACAACTTATATCTTTTCACTCTCACAAAGAAGTGGGACCCACACTTTTTTTTTTGTCAACCTTCTCTTCCTTTATATATCTCTTTTTTTCTTTTCTTAAAATGACACAACTTTACATCCTTTAAAATGACACACATTTTTCCCTTATATCATCAGTGGTAGAGAAAATGTGATGAAATCATTTCCCCTTTCAGAAAAAAGTTTAATTTTAATGTATTTTTTGAGTAAAAAAATATGGGAAATCATTTTGTAACAACCAATTAGTGTTACTACCAATCAATTTCACCGTTAGATTGATTATATTGACCTAACGGTTATATTTATTTCTATTTTTGTATAGTTATGATTCCCCATATTTAGTACTTTATATTTATTTATACATTTGTATAGTTATGATTTTCTATATTTAATGCTTTCACATTAAACATGAGGAGTCATAATTATACAAAGATGAAAATAAACATAACCGTTGGATCAATATAATCGATCTAACGGTGAAATTGATTGATAGTAACATTGGTAGTGACACTAATTGTTGTTACAATATCCTATCCCAAAAAATATATACCTACATTCAATATTCAATACTCAATATTCAATATTGTTATAAAATAATTTAATAAGTTTAACATTTTATGTAATTGTTAACAGTCAAATTAATTAAGTATATATTTCTACCAAAAATTAATATTATAACTATGTATTTTTCAGAATACATAGTTATAAAAGGGTGGGAGGACAAACAATAAGTCATATATATATATATATATATATATATATATATATATATATATATATATGACTTATTGTTTGTCCTATCACCCTCTTATAATTATATATATATATATATATATATATATATATATATATATATATATATATATTGTGTGTGGGTGTGTGGAAAAAGTGTGTATCATTTTAAATGACACAAATTTTGATCATTTTAAAAGAAAAATAGACATAAAGAGATGAGATTCACACCTATTTATGTCCATCTCTTTTAAAAGGACCTAATTTTATATCTTTTAAAATTACATACATTTTTTTTCTATGTATACATATTGCAATTATCATTTACGTTTTATGCTTATGAACTGTACTTTGTTTTGTTAATCATTAAATTATGTTACTGACGGTGATAACATGGATTAAATACTTTAGATCTAAAATACCCTTTATACATAAGTAAAGAACTTAAGAGGATTAGGAAATAATCCTTCAATGCTAAAAGCATTTATGAAAATGTTGGAAAGCAATAACTAAGAACACCTTCTTCAATCTCCAAAGATAGCTCACTTGGCAATTGAGTTTTCAAAGATTTATTTGGGTCAAGTAAATTTTTAAAAAATCTTTGAGGACCAGAGGACGTGCCTCTCTTCTCGAAGGGGTTATACAAAAAAATAAAAATAAAAGAACATCTTCTTCTTCTTTTTTTCTTTTTTGTAAATAAGAACACCTTTTTTAACACCGAAAATATGTTGTCTTTTAACCTTATTCTTTTCTTAAAGGGGAAATGATTTTTTAACACTTACACCTAAAATATGTTGCCTTTTAACCTTATTCTTTTCTTAAAGGGGAAATGATTTTTTAACACTTACACCTAAAATATGTTGCCTTTTAACCTTATTCTTTTCTTAAATGATTTTTGCAACTAATAAAGAGAGAGAAAGGATAAATATGATGAACCTCACTGTTGTTATATTACAAGTGGCAGAGAAAATGATTTCTGTAGAGAAAATGTGATGAAATCATTTCCCCTTTCTTAAAAGAGTTTAATTTTAATGTATTTTCTGAGTAAAAATATATATATCTACGTTCAATATTCAATACTCAATATTCAATATTGTTATAAAATAATTTAATAAGTTTAACATCTTATGTAATTGTTAACAGTCAAATTAATTAAGTATATAATTCCACCAAAAAATGAAGTATATATTATCACCAGATTGGATAATAATATAAAGAGAAATATTCACATCATATTTTTTTAACTTTTTTTAATATATTAGTAAGCTATATTGAATTAAAATATTTCATTTCAAACCCTAGCTCAGTTGACAACTAAGTGTCCAATGATTTGTTTTGTTCAGGGATTCAAGCTTTGGCTAGTCTCACTTTTCTTTCAATGACAATAATTCAATGCACTTTCTTTTTCAGTGAAATTATTTCATCTCTTCTCCCAGTTAAATAATAATAATCAAAACAGCAAAAGAGTGGAGTGACTAAAAGGCTTCTGAGCCTCTCAACCGTTCATAAGATTTAAAAAAAGTCTTCATTGTTAGCTTTCTCTTGTTGATTTGGTAACATTTACTTGCAGAACAAATATGAAAAGTGTGAATAAAAAGTGGAAAAAATATTTGTCATTTTGAAAAATATAATTTGTGTCATTTTAGATAAAACCACGTTATTTTGATGTATTTAATGATTTTTACATTCTCTTTCTTTTTAAAAAATATCTCAAAATGCTCATTTTCCACTTATAAGAAACGGTATTGGGTAAGGACTAAGGATCAAATTCGTACAATATAACTAAAATGTATAAACTTATCGCCTTGCCTAAAATGTATTTGTTTTAATTGCTAAAAATCAAAACTGTCTTAATTCGCATTAACTAAAATGTTCCAAATAAATATTTTAAATTCTTTTTGCATAATTCATTTAAAGTAAATAAATTTAAAAATTATAAAAAAAACTCAATAGATTAAGCCACTTGCAAAAGTACGTGTTTTCATTCAGTATATGAAAAATAGATTTGAAAGTAATTAATCTGAGAAATGTTAAAAAAAAAATGTGTTTTTTTTTCAACACTGAAGCCACATGTTTTAAGAATACGAAAAGTGAAATAGGAGATTATCTCACCTTCAAGAGCGAGGATTCTATTTTTTTATATAAGGGATATGTAAGACAGCTTTCTCTCTTTAAAAACTTTTAATTAAGAAAGGGGGTTAAGTGACATTGACATAATTAAATTTTTGTATGCGTTGTATTAACATACTAACATTCGTATCACAGAGCAAGTTTTATTCAGGAATCTTCATTTTGAAGAATAAAATTAACACGAAATATCTGTTTCAATATTTGAAACTTAAAGTATCAGTAACATGATAAACTAGCCAAGGAATGGAAAATGCATCTATTTTGGAGCCTGATGACACTCTTTTTTGTGAAGTTAACTTAGTTTGGAATTAAAATGAACTTTCTTTGTAATTTATACATAAGTGTTATCACTTAATTTAAAACATAATCAGGTTCTACAAACTGACCATTAGAAATGAACCTCTAAACTTCCTAAAGACATGAAGTACGAAAAAATCGAAGACTTTAAGAAAAGATTTAGTACTAGAAGATTTTGAGTAACGAATGAGTTAAGAAAGGTCACTCTCCAATTAGTGCTGCCAGTAGTTGTCTGACATAAGCCAATGAGCCCACTTGACACTTGCATTGGTCCATTTCATTCAACCTCCAGGTTGCGTGTTCATTCATTAGATTACATCTCCATGCTTTGTTCCATCACATTCTCGCAATGATAACTAAACTAATTTAATGGAACCAATTACTTGTATTTTTCTAAAGTGGGATTTTAGATAAAATGTTTTCTAACAAACCAGTTATGAAATAAAGTTTTGAAAGCCTGCATCTTCTATATGCCTTGCTAATTATTATCTTCTTCTTTTTTCTTCCTTTGTACTCGAAATATTCCCATTTAACTGAATAGAATAAATACTTTTACTTTCACTTAAAAGTATGAAATTAAGAAATACATTCAGAACATGGACAAAAAGAGATTTGATCTAAAATCATTATTTTGAGGTGAGCAATTACATTTAGATTGTTTCCTAAATCACTAGTATTATCTTTTATGCGACTTTTATCAATCACCTACTATGATTATCTTACCTTTTGGCAACATAGAAAATGAACATTGCATATACAGTACAGAGTTACAGGCTTACAATTGCAATGTTAGTGTATGTTTGGATTAACAACATATTCTGTGTATAGAACAGCTTATAATTAAAAAGACACGGTTACAAGTTCACAAACATCCGATCCTTGCAATCTTGTGTTCATCCAAGTTACAGTAGTAAACCTGAAAGTTCAGAGACTAATCCACAATGCCCAAAACATAGATAGCACACAATAACCAGCCTACAAACATCAAATCATTGCAATATTAAGCGCTTCATGAAATTCATTCACACAATTATTGCGATAAACCTGAACGTTGAACCAAATCCACCATGAGAAAAGATACACATTATATAGCAACTCAACATTGTTAATTAAATATGTGGATAAATTACAATTTGCGATTGGAAACCAAAACAGGTTGGAAGAAAAACTATGTAAAATGCATTTCCATTTAGCAACCTATAAAAACTTACAAGGTGTGTGAATGTGAATGGGTTTTCTTAAGAACTATCAAGATGATCACTTTCAACAGAGAAATTCAAAAAGCCCCTAGTGGCATCAACTCCTTCAAGTTGGTCTATTTCATCATCCGTCATATATTGACTCAGTTTCTCCCTATAAATCCCCAATTGATCTTCCAACAAGCTTTTCTGAGATTCATGTTGCATAACAGTCCACCTCAGTGATTCAATCACTTCCTGATCATAATCTTGCTTCTGCTCAACCATCCTCCGAAACTGATTGGCCTGAATTTCCACCGAACTCTTCTCGCTCTGCAGCCGCAAAATCATCGCCATGGCCTCCTCCGCCGCTGAAGAAGCCGCTCCCCTTTCCTTCTCGATCTCAGCGCACGCAGCGTTGAATCTTTGCCTCTCCATCTTCACCATTTTTCTCAGCGCCATTACGTCGAACGTCTCGTCTTCCAAATCCTCATCATCTTTCTCCTCCACCCCATCTTCCGCATGAGAACCCTTCTTGTTCCCTAAACTGGAAGAAGAAGATTTCAAAGGGTCACGCTCCAAAGTTGCAACCTTTGCACCAGGGACTTCAGAACGGAATCTGGGGGTGCCTCCAAATTCAGAGAGGAATTGCAATAAGTCCTTAGAAGTCCAACCAGAACGCATAATCCTCATCAAGAATCCAAAGATCAAGATGATACCGACGACATTGAAAAGGCGAGAGAAGTAACCGAGAAGAACGAAGCCACAACCAACCTCACTGGCCTGGGTGAGGAACTTGAAGGTTGAAGGGAAATCCATGAGGAGAAAGCCCAACGAAAGGCGAAGAAACCTATGGTACAAGCCAAGAACAGAGTGACCAGCAACCAACAAACAAAAACGACCCAGAGTCTGCATCTGCATCTGGGGCTATCAGATTTTGATACAACACCCAATCTTAGCGTCAAAGGGTTAAAAACAAACCCAATAACCTACTCTGTGACGAAAAAATGGTGGATTTTGATAACTATGGGAGAGAAAGAAAAAAAAAAAAAAAAAAACAAGGGGCTTGTTTGGTTTTTCTTGCTATAGAACAAATACAGTACAGTGTAGAAGTAGAACAATCACAAGCCTTGAGAGGAAAGAGAGAGAATGTTAATGTTGATTGTGGAAGAAGAAGATGAAGAACAAAGAGAATGGGGTGAGGGATCTATTATAGAGGCGAAGAAATAGAGTAGTGACTTGTGAGCATCCGTTCTGGACACATTACTCAGACCATTTCAGAGGTAACAGTTACAATACCGTTGCTATGTATTAATCCCTAATCATTATTATTATGCTCTTAGAAACTGCATTTAATACCCCAATTCATGATAAATTTAGTACCTCTTTTTTTATTTTTTTTTATTAAATTTTAATCGTTGATTTTCGTCAATCTAACGATTACAATTTATTGAAAATTAATAATTAATTAATAAGTATGATCCAATAAATTACAATTGTTAGATTGACAAAAATCAACGGTTAAGATTTGATAGTAAGAGATAGTAAGAAAAAGAGGTAGTATATATAACCTCCTTATTCCTGATATATATAATATTCATATCAATGTTATATTTCCTAATTTATTTTGCAATAATTTTACTGATTGAAATCCTACAAAATTTATGTATATGGTAAATAGTAAATAAGTTTATAGATTTGGATATCCTTTTTTAGCTGTGTTATAAAAAAAAAAGTACATAACTACATTTAAGTGAAAATTCGTATGACAAAAATTACAAGTAATAATTGATTGGATTTAGTGTTTGTTCTTTTAAGGACATAAAATTATGAGAGAAAGGCATAACTAATGAAGATTATGAGAGAGAAAATGAATAATTTTTTTTAAAATTTAAAATTTAAATTATATCTTTTTTCACTTAAAATGATATAATTATTGGGAAATGTTATAGTTACTACCTTTTTTTCTTACTATCTCTGACTACTAAATCTTAATCATTGATCTCCGTCAATCTAACTGTTGTAATTTATTGGGTCATATTTATTAATTAATTATTAATTTTCAATAAATTATAATCGTTAAATTGACGAAAATAAACAGTTAGATTTGATAGTAAGAGATAGTAAAAAAAAAAGCAGTAATTATAACTTCTTCCATAATTATATGTCATTTAAAAAACACAAAGATTTTTCACCAAAAAAAAAAAAAAACACAAAGATTTTTTCCTAATTGATTACTGGTAAAGTTGAAAAAAAAAGTTTGAGTTTTAATTAAATTTATATATATTTTTATTAGACGCTGTTAAGGTCCAAGTTCCACCATTACCCCGTTAATGCTTAGGAGACAAGTTATGTGAAATTAAAAAAAAAAAATCATCTGATTTGGATATCCAAGTCACAAGTTATGGTCTTCCAAAATTTTACAGTAACTGAAATGCTTACGTGGCAGTGACATGGCACGAGTCCCGTCAGCATATGTGACATGTTTGACTGCATTATTTTAGAAATACTTATCTAATCAATTTTAACTTAGCAATTCTTTTGCCCAAAAATTTTAAAATGGTACTTTAGCCCAAATACAGTAAAGAAGAGGTAGAGGGAGAATAAAAAATAAATATTATGTCTGAGTATTCAAATCTAACAATAAAATTACAGGCAAACGTCTCAATTACAGAACAACTAAATTTATGTTTATTATTACACGTAGCTTTAAATCTCTTTTTAAAACAAATACTTCAAACCATTTTCAGAGTAAGAGTTTCAATTCCGTTGGCCATGTATTAATTCTTAATCATTATTATTATTTATGCTTTTTAAAATTCTAATTAGTACCACAATCCATAGTTTATTTTGAAATAACTTTACTTGATGAAGTCCTAAAAAAAATTATCTAAATGGTAAATACTAAATACGTTTATACATTTGGATATCCTTCTAGATGTGCTTATAAAAAAAGTAAATATAAATGATGATAAGGAAAAAAAATAATTGCATTTCAAAAAAATTATTGAATTAATGCAATTGTTAAATATTTTATCTCTCTAATGCGGTCAATTGCACACACACATCGTGTGCAACTAGTCTTGCTCCATGTATGTGCGCAACTAAGGGTGTCCACGACATATTTCCCGGAATCAATTCTTTTTTAATTTCTGCTTCTGAGAACAGAAATAGATAGAAAACTCGTTTGGTAAAATCGGTTTATTTTTTTGTTCCCGGGATGAACCGGTTTAATTTTTGTGTTGGGGACCGAAAAAAAGAATCAGAAAATTTCTGCTTTTTTGTTCCCGGGCACAAAATGAAAAACACTTATCTCTCTCAATCACTCTCCACCTCTACACTCATCACCACCACCATTATCCCGACACAACTGCTGCCACCATCGTCGTCGCCGTCATCGTACCACTAGTGCCGTCGTCACCACCCCTCACCACCACGATGTCACTGCCACCATTACCACCACCTCCACCCATCACTACCACCATGCCACCGTCACCACCACCATAACTACCACCGCTGCCATCACTACCACCACTATCTCCGTCACCACCACCATCACCACTACCGCCATCAACCACCACTGTAAGAACCCGCACCGTTAATTAATTAAGGTATTTAATTAATTAATTATGCAAAATTAGGAAATGATTCCATAATTGACCCTAATAATTATTTATGAGGCTTAATAAGCATAATAAGTGATTAAGAATGCTGAAAGTCGCTTTTCGGAAGAAAAGTGCAGATACCGGTTCTGCTAGTCGGTATAAATGCGTACCGAAAAAGTATCCCGGAAAATAAAAGTAAGTGCATGATAATTACTAGAATAATATGTAGGACTTGTAAAACGAGTTTCAAGTCCAAAAATGAGAACTGGTGCTAGAAACCGGTACTGGCTTTGAAAAGCGCGCACCGGAAAGGTGCTAAGAAAAATATGATAAATCTTAGAAAATTATGTAGTTTCATAATCCAAAGTTTGGGATTAAAATTCTAAGCGTAGCAATTAAAGTTAATATTGTGCGTTTATGTGTTAAATCACTATAAATAGGCACACTTGGCCCTAAACCCTAGGCACTCAGAATTGTCTACGTGACTTGGTGGCTGACTTGCACCTTACACATTGTTCCATTGCCTTTCCTTCCATTTCTTGAGCAAGCTTTCACCTTTGAGACTTGTTCTTCCATTTAAACACTTGGTGAGGGTGAAGGTTGGCCTTGGGACTGCATTGTGGTGGTGTTTCTGAGTTGTGAAGTCTGTATGAGGGAGGTTTGGTTGCTGACTTGTTGGTTTTGGGTTAAGAGAAGCTTGGTTTTGGTTTTGGAGGTCCAAGTGGTGACCTTTGTGTTAAAGAACCAACCTTTGTGAAACCATTTTCGTGCATCTTCCTTGAGTCAGACTTGAGGGACTGTGTTGAGCTCCAAGAGCATCTCCATTCTGAGTTTTGAGACTTGGTATGTTGTACCAACCTTTAACTTGAGTTTTAAGGCTTAAAAATGGAAGCTTGATGCATGTTAAGGTTAAAAGATTATAACTTGTTGTTGGGTAAGGCTTAACACACCTAGAAATGCATGATTAGGTGTATAAAATCGGTAAAAAGGGAACCTTTAAGGGATATCTTCACGAAAATGCAGAAACTGCATTCTGTCGTGAAATATCGGGATATTTGTCGAACAGATATCCGGATATTTGGTTTTGGGATATCCGGATATTAGATATCCGGATATGTGAATCTGTATATCCGGATATTGCATATCCGGATATGGTCCCGAGGAATATCCGAATATTCTAGGATTTCGCAGGAGAGTAGCTTTGCTGTGTGTACAATAGGCTATTGGGGGGTTTGTGGACCCTAGTTTGATGAAGTTGAACTTCTGTATGTATTGGTCTAAGCCAGAATCATGAGATTAAGGGCTTGTGGCTTTGTTAGAAGCTTTAAGACTTGAAAAACGTAATGAAAAGGCGTTGTCTTTAATTTGTATGCATGTGGTACATGTTTATTGATTTATATTTGGTCCATATCAGATTGTGATCTGCTGTGATTGGACTTTGAGCTTGTGGCATTGGATAGCTAGCTTAGAGGTAAGCTTTCGTGTCCTCGGTTTAGCCATGTTGTGGTTCCACCATGTCCCATGGGGGTATGGTTATATGCATGCTGTGTTACATGCTTTTGATGTTTTGGAAATGTTGTTGAGCTATTGTATGTTAGTGCCTTGTTGATATACATGGAGGTGTTCCACCTATACGGTAAGCCTGAGTATGTGGAACATACAAGATGGTGAGGCTGTGGGTGAGGTGCAAGCGGTGTTCCTTGTACTACATGTAGGGAATAGACGTATTCCTACATTTCTCTGGCCAGTAGATAGTGATTACACACATGCCATAGATATCTGTTGCACTACATAGTTTTGGAACTGATAATGATATATATGCTTTTTGAACTTATATTGCACATGTAAGTGAGCTTGGGGTGGAAGATCCTTGAGGACCCCTTGTCTTACTGAGATTTCTAGTTTAGAGATCTCACCCCACGTTTGGGGAATGCTTATTTCAGGGTCAGGTAATGTTGAGACCTTAGGCGGCAGGAGGCCAGAGCTGAGTTAGAGTGCTGTTATATTATGCTGCCATGATTGGATGCTGGATTTGCATGCTGTTTATATGCTTATAGCTTCAGATATGATTATGGAGTTTTATGTTGAGACTTGTTGTTTACTATGTTTATTTGGTGAGCATGGGGATTGTCCATGACACATAGTACGGTTATGTCATGTTTATGTCTTGAGTCTTTTGGAGTTGTAATAATGTATCAGGATATTGTCCGGATTACTTGATGTAATATCGTGATTTAGATACACACTTTATCTATATATTGAGGTATTTCAGTAGATGTCTTATTGCAATTTACATACAGGCGATATTTTATGAAATTGATTAAGTAATCAAGTTGGTAATTGATAATGACGTCATAATTGAAAAGAAAAAGAATATTC